TCGTGGGCAAGTCGTTATTTCACCAACCCGCAAAAAGGCAAAAAAGGCTGTCGTACACATTGCCCTAAATAAAAGTGCGCGATATTCACTAGAGGCAACGAGAGAAGTCTGCTGCAAAATTGTGCGGAGGATAGAAATAGTGATTGGAAGGCGTGCATCAACACCGGAGCCAAGCTTACCATATCCTTTCAACATTTCGAGAACCCAAAATACCTTTGTAGGGTCATGCACGCCCGTTAGACGGTGATAATAACCTAATGCAGAAACATATGTATTCGCGGTCGAGGCTGCATAATGGCGCTGAAACATGAATGCGATAAATAAACCCAAGTCTGAAGGCGATATGGGCAGTTTGACTGAAGCAGATTGAAAAACTGCAGAAGAAAACTGATTGTATAGTTTCCATGCCCTGCGATAGGTAGGGATTGAAGATGGCTGCAAACTAGATTGAATTAACCGCGAGGTAATAACGGCCAATTGTGTGGTAGAAGGTGAGGCGGTATGACTGTCGGTGTTGGCCGAACGCCCACCGGAGCTAGCCATTTGAACTTTGAAACCTGCAAGCGAGATAAGGAGTCAGCCAAAACATTTGTAACCCCCGCTACATGGCGAGCGCGAAAGAGAATATTAAATTGCAAACAAGCCAGCACCAGGCGTCGAACAAACACCATAACAGTCACATCACGAGAAGTAGCCTTATTTATAATATCAACCAATGCCGCATTATCGGTGAAAAAAGTTATACGCTGGTTACGCATCTGGTCTCCCCATAGAAGAACGCTTAATACGATTGGGTAGAATTCCAAAATCGTTATGTTAAAAGTTTTCCAATTGTCGGGCCAGGCACCGTAACACCACTCAAAACCAAAAAGTGCGCCGTAGCCGAGGCTAGCCGCAGAATCGGTGTACAGGTTAAGGCTAGCAGAGTCATGCCACATGTCATTGAGAAAAAACTCTGTATCTCGCATAATGTGACCTTTTTGCGACAAAGAAAAGCAGATATCAACTGCTTGCATTTGTCAGTTTTATCCAAAGGTAAGCGGGCTTCCATGCGCAAAGTATCTAATTCAATGCCGGCAAAGGAAAGAACGTTGTGTGGGCCGATTGTTTTTTCTGGAGCGATTGGCACGGCTACGTGTTCACAGAGAGACAAAAAGCGAACAAGGTCAATGCGACATTGGTGATAAGTAGGTGCGGCCATTAGATAATCATCGAGAATGTGGATTAGATGTGCGATTAACAAGTGTGTCTTAGCAACCCATTCGATAGCAGTGCTAAACATCTCGAAAGTGCGACATGATGACGCACACCCCATAGGCATAACTCTATCATAATAATATTTGCCTTGCCAAAAAATACCCAAGAGATCGTAATCGGCAGGGCGTATGGGAATAATACGAAATGCGCTTTTTATATCTGTCTTCGCAAGAAAACAACCGCGCCCAAGCTGCTTCATCATAGAAACTGCATCATCGACACGAGCATAGTTCACAGAGGTATTGTATTCCCCTGGAGTTTTCTTAGGAACAACGCCTAACGGAGAGACTCGAAAATTGGGGAAAGGGGGATTTTCAAAGGGCCCAGCAATGCGATTCGCCGCTAATTCTTTCGAAAGTTTAGCACTAACGATTTCCGGGTTCTGCAAGGCCGAAACGAGATTTGTTGCAAAAAACGATATACGAATGCCTTCAAAATGAAGGGGAAAACCAAATTGAAAACCATTATATAACAAAAATGTCAATCGCACATCATATCCACATAGTAGAGGGAAGAGTTTATTAATTTGTACTGGTGTTGGCAGGACGGGACTTGGATGCTGCAGGGGTTGACTGCGAATTTGAGCGTGAGGGACAAAAATTACATCGGAGGGCGGAGTGGACTACACCACATTTAAAGCATTGATGTTTAAAATTACATACTGGACAATCGCCACCCCGATGGAACTTGCGACAAAATCCCCTGGGAACAAAGAGGGCAGGAACTGACGCTGGCGAATTAGACCCATGATTACGTGTAGGTGTCTGGGTTTTAGTGAAGCGTGAATGATTGAAATTTTGCGCCCTTATCCACAGTTCCCAGTGAGTGTCGCTCCACGGTGCATCGGCTGGGTTAGTTTGACGCAAAAGACGAAATTGAGCGTCGTAAAAACGCCAGTCACCCCCGCGAGCAGCCAAATCTCGAACAACTTCGCCGTATTTCATCAAAGCGGGGCCTCCATGGGGAATTTAGTTGTGTACACCCCGACAAAAATTTGAAACGCTGAAGTCCATGCCTCGATATTAGGGATGGACTTCACTTTGTGTGTTGGTTCCAAAGATAAAAGCGGAACATTGGAGCCTTCTTGAGGCCCCACCGATAGCTGATAACGCGTATCACAAGCCCCAGAACCAAGCAATAGGCTGAAATCTAAAAATTCATTGGCCCAAATTTTCGACTTCAATTTGGCACTAACGTTTGCTCCGATAGGCAAACTGATCGAATTAAATTTGGAGCTTGGCGTTGGGGACCGCGATACTGGCACTAAATTAGGCTCACCTGATATATTGAGTAAGGCAGACGCCACCGGCCCCTGCATCGTGGCGTCTGCCGTACCCAACACACCCGAAGCAACCACTGGCAATTCACGCGTCTCCGTCGACAACTCGGGCGGTGTAGATGGGATGGTGTGTGACTGGAGGTTGGCCATGACCGCCTGCGTTGTTTCCGAAATTATTCGGGCTAGAGTAGCTTCTGAGAGGGTAAAATGGTTGGTAGACCCCGCAGTGGTGTTGTCTGTTGGTGCAGTAGTTGGCGCGGACAATGGCTGCGGCAAGGTATTCACCGATGTACTTGGAGCCGTGAGTAGACCGGAGCGGGATGATCGTCGCGGTCGGCCGGGTCGGGTTGGTTGCGTTCGCCTCTGCACTCGTTTACTCGCTCTGGTAGTGGTAGCAGGCATAATTCCGTATAGCAAGAACTAAGGAATAAACAAAGAGCGGAGCAAGAGCGAAACGAATGTCTGTGGTGATACGTAAAATACTATATACCAGAGACACGCCACGCACAATACAATTGACAAAGATTAAAAAAGACAGGAAGAATGGAAAAGGCAGCGAAATAATCATGGCATACAACGAGGGTAGCCGCATTTGATTATCCCGTGATGCTGCAAATACTGAAAATTATCGGGCAATCTGAAAACAACATGCCGCACCATCCCACAATATATTGACTTCAACTGTGGGCATCCGGAAACGTAAAACACCCTACCCACTTAGACATGCATTTTTTCCTACACAGAACGAACGAGCGATATATGCATAAAACTACATCAGCAGGACAAACATCACAAACCACACAACGCATATATAACAAGTAAAATCATGAACTCGTCCTGCGCAGCAAAAAAACCAATGTTGAAATCTCAAAGAAGCATGGCCCCTAAAATCTAAACCAAGGACACCTTATGTTTGTTCCAGATGTATTGGGGATAAAAAATCTCCAAAAAAATTTTCACATGAAAACTCAATGATTCCTTCACATGTCCCACATTAATTACAAAATTTAACTCAAGTTGAAGAAATGTTGGTTGCACGTGCTCTTGTAATGAGAGTCTATATTAAACCAGGTGGTCAACGAGGTTATTCAGGGCATTGTATCAACTTGCCACAAAATCTTACTGAGCTTGCAAAGTCTTTGCCAAGATACCCCAAAGATTTGCCTGTGGTAATTGTCAAGGTTAAAGGTAGAGATCACACATTTAAAGATTTGACTGTTCGAAAACAAAATGTGCACAATGCTTTAGTTTGGCTTAATAATAATAATCCATATTATTCAGAGATCACAATTAATAAGGATGCATTAAAATTATTACCTGAAAATGGTGTGCCAACAGGTCTTATGGCTGTTGAGACAGATGATGATATAGTCACAGATGACAATTCCCAGGATTTCGGTCCTCCTACTGATAACCCATCTGAGGATATAGTTTACAATAACTTAGTTAGCTTAGAGTAGTTTTTTGCCAGTTGGTCATCAACAACAACAGGAAATTGAAGCTATTAAAAATCAAATTTCTGAAAATGAGCCAATGGAATGGCCCACAATTGAGAATGAACCATTAAATGAATATCAGGTATCGCATCTCGCCACAATGGCTTTCCCAACATTATTTCCGGATGGAAAAGGTGATCCAACTAATCAAGGACTTCTACGGGATGTTCCTCTTCAGGAGCGAATAAAGCACCTTTTGAAATTTGCTGAAGTTATTGATGCCAAATGGGTCTACCGTTTTGCTAACCATCCCAGATTCTGTTCTGGGCTTTTAATATGATTCAAAGAAAACGAATCTTACAACAAAGTGGCATATTCCTAAAGCAAAACCCAGTTGAGGCACATCTCACTATTGATGAATTAAGGGAAATGACTGCCAGTAACAATGCTAATCTGTTTATGTCTAAAGTGTCTAGATATGTTGGGAATATTGCTGGTACTAATGCTTACTGGAACAAAGTAAGAGAAGAACTCAAAGCTATCATAACTAGTGTTGGAGCACCAACATTATTTTTCACTTTTTCCTCTGCGGATATGCATTGGCCTGAGTTACACACTCTATTTAACCCTTAAAAGCCCAAAGGGAGAAAAACGTGAGGAAAATTCCTGAAATTTTGGATTCCTATTCAGATTGGCTACTGAATAAAATGTCAAAAATAATTTCTAAGAATTTTCACATTGTCAGCACTTTTTAAATTTGTGACAAATTTGTCACAATGGGTATTTACATATCCTATTTGCGATCAAATTGCTGAAATTAAACAACATGATACATCTGTTAGAATTTTAACTAATATAGATTAAATGAAAAATGATGCTATTTACATAACATAGATTGAATAACTGAACTCCAATAAGGTTATCCACTACCTATTTACAACACAAGTTTGTAGTGATGAGTAAATGTCAGGTACCTGTTGAGGCAAATGTTTCAAATTCTAAACAGTTTTGAAGTATCAACTTAGTAATTAACCTCTGGTGTGATATTCTTTGTAACAGTTTCTGTCCTTATTAAAACAAAGGTAAACATTACACTTCCTACACATAGCATGAGATCGAGAGTCTTTGCACAGCTTGCATCTTTGCCTGTTGTCATTATCCCAGTCTGGCAAATGGTCAACACCATCAAATCTGACATCATCAACTGGTACTGAAGTCTGCCGCTTTCTGGGTATTGGAGACGGGTTGTCTAAGGAGCTTTTCCTTTTTCTGGTTTTACCAGCTTTCAACAAACCTTCTGCAACTATTGCCTGAAAACAACGAAGTTTCATGTATTTACCATTCTGTTGATGCTTGCGATAAATAAGCCATGAGTTGACCATAGCAACTGTCAAGGTGTGGTACCAGATGTACAAGTACCATCTTCGAGATTTGATTGAATAGCGATACAAGGAACAGAGCATATCCATGAGATCTATGCCTCCCATAAATTTATTATATTCAGCAACAATCTTTGGCTTTTGAATATCAACATACTTCTTTTCCTTCTTATTCCATCGCCTAGCAGTTCCTACCGGATGTTCCCCACAATAACTTGACACCAATGTCACTGCTTTTTTGTCCAGCCATCTTAGCACAATAATTCCTTTCTGCTGGTCAACTTTCACATCATATGCTCCACGACCTTGTGATTTCAGGGATTTTTCAGATTTTAGAGGACATCCTTTCAACCGATTGTTACGTGCAGTCCCAACATACTGAATTCCTCTCTCTTTTAGTTTTTCAACCAGTGGTAGGGATGTGAAGTAGTTGTCTGCATAAAGTTTGTGATTTTTACCCTCAGGCAAGGTTGATGCAAGCTTCATCACAATTTCACCACTAGAACCTATATCCCGATCAGTAATTTCATCAGATGCTCCTTGATACACATCAAAATCATGTATAAATCCAGATGATGAGGCTCGTGCCCACAGCTTGTATCCCCACTTTGTTGGTTTCTTGGGCATGTAAACTCGTGGTCCATATTTACCTTTGAATGCCACCATCATCTCATCAACAGACTGGTGCTCGCTTGGAGTAACTGTAAGAAAATTAGTTCTTAGCTTGTCCAGCCATGGTCTTAATTTCCAAAGCTTGTCCTTTTTCTCTTCATCAGTAACTTGGTTATTATTGACAAAATGAAGTAAAGTGAGAAGCTTCTGAAAGCGAGTGCGACCCATTTCATCAGCAACACAAGGGTACCGAGTGGCATTCTCCCAATAAGATCTTACAGATGGAAGTTGAACTAGGCCCATAAGGAAATACATACCAATGATTTTCTCCAGTTCATCAACTGAAGTTTCTATAGATATACCAGACTTTTCAACACTATACACATTTGTCTGTTCACACATATTCTGGAGCATTTCCTTAGTTACAAATTGCCTAAAAAATTCTAATGATGATGGCTCTGGCTCAGTCAATAAATATTCATCACCAGAGAAAGGCATTTCTTGTTGATCAAATCCACGGCTCCTCCATCTGTATTTATATTTTTCCTGCATATCAGTGGCACTAGAGGAAGTCTTTTGCTTTTGTAAACGTTCAGCCAAAGGTTCATCATCATATGAATCACTATCATTTTCACTGTGATCTAAGTTTTGATCATCATCAGAGCTCTCACTCTCATTATTCACAGGGTTGTATTCTTCTTCAGAATCATCATCACTGAATTCTATATCACTCCCATCCTTGCCAACCATCTCCAATGCATCTCTAACTGTATATGTTTTTGGGATTCTGTCCATATTTACCTTGAAAAGGTAAATATATAGTTTAAGTTGTTGTATTTCTGAAAAACAATCAAGGAAAATGCTTACAAGCTTTCTAAAGTGATCTTTAGAAACTGTATTTTTTATAGGTAATTATACATACAAGGTTATATGATCATTATATAAATGATAAAAAAAAATTGTTTGGGGTGCCACTATTTTATATATTTTATGGTGTTAGTTGGAAGTGATACTCAAATGCCCAAAGTGACACATTTGGCACATCAAAATTCAAATTTATTTCAGGATAACATTTTTCGATGTTCCAAACATTTCTAAACTTAGTTTTTTAGCTTATGTATTGCTTTAACACTTAACACTGTGAATAAGCTGTTTACGTACCTTTAAAGTATAATTTTTAAGCATCAAAGACCAGAGGAAAAGCAAAATATCTCGTGCGTGACAGCCGCCATGTTGAAAATATAGAATCTAGTACTCATTCTCCTTTTTGTCTCAGTTTTGCTCGACAAAATGGAAGCTCTATGTACCAAATATGGCACAATGGGCACTACTGGTCAGAAAAAAGTTTTATTAAGAAACAAATAGCCCTCAAAACTGGTGTGACATATTTGTCACAAGGGGTCTTTAAGGGTTAATGCTGATAATGGTTGTGGAACTGGTAATAATACCAATGAGGTCAGACGACAAAATGTAATTAACAATCCTCATATTGTGGATTGGTTTTTCACTCAAAGATTAGAAAGCTTTGTTAAACACTGGCTTTATGAAACAATTGGTGCAAAATGGCACTGGTTTAGATATGAGTACCAAGGTAGAGGCAGTATCCATTATCATGGTACTGCTAAACTAAATAATGACCCAGGTTTGTGTGAACTTACTGAGACTGCTTTGAAAGGTTACTTAGCACAAAAATTTAAAGATGAGAACATTTCTTCTGATATAACTGAACTAGACAATGATATTGATGCTGGTCAGAAAGCAGCTGAAACAGTATGTCGGTATGTTGATTGGCTATTATCAACTGTCAATCCAAACCCACCAGATGAAGATATGTGGGTACGACCTGAAACTCATCCATGTCAGAAACCCCATAATGAAATTCCTGAACATGAAAAAGTCAAATGAGACTGAATTGAAATGTAGATTTCATTTTCCATTTGACAATTGTCTGCAGACAAAGTTAGAATTTGAAAAGATACACACCTCAGGTGATAATGAACATTATAAAGCTAAAATTGTGACTAAGCGAAATGACTCAAGGTTAAGTAACCATCAGCAATTCCAACTCCAGGGGTGGAGAGCTAACTGTGATATTCAAGTTGTTATTGATCACTATGCATGTGTTGAATATCTCACAAAATATGCAGCCAAAGGTGAACCAAGGTCACCTTTATTAAAACAAGCATTTAACTCTATTATGCAAAAAGTTGACAGCAATACTGACCCTCGCAGAGCTATTAAGAAGGTAGTTATGAGATCCCTTGGTGAACGAGATTATGCTGCTCAGGAGACAATGCATCATTTGTTGTCTTTAAAGCTTCATAGCTCATCATTTAATGTGATACCAATCAGTTTAAATGGTTCACGTAAAATACGTCACACTCACCTTGAAGAAGGTGAGTAATGCACTGATTACTCACTTCTTGATGTGTACACTAATCACGAGCAATATGACAGCTCACAAAATATCATGAATATGAATTTTGTTCAATTTGCCACAACATATAAAGTTGTTCACAATGAACTGACAAAATTGCCAGAGAATGTTATACCAAGAATATTCCCAACTTATTCTCCTTTTTTGGACTATATTGTAAGTATCAACTTTTAAGATATAAACCCTGGAGAACAACCCAAAACAATGCGTGGGGTGACCAAGAACCAACTGACGATGTTCTAATCAATTCTTGGCAAGAATTCTTGCAGACTCCTTGTGGACAATCCAATGTTCCAGACTGGTTTGACAAATTAGAAGCTGTCATCCAAAGTCAAGAATCAGAAGATGAACCTTCTGAAGAACAGGAGGTAGCTCAAGAAGAGTGGATGATATTGTCAGACCTTCACACTCCTTTTGACACCTCTGAACAAACACCAGCGTCAACATATGACTGGCACCTTGATAGAGGCAATTATACAGAACAACAAATCCATGAAATGCCAACATGGATAAAAACAAACAAAGAAGAATATACTATTAATGACCAATATGATGTTGTTGACTTAAACAGTTTTAGTGAAATGCAAAAACTTGCTTTTGACATTGTTAAATCTCATTTTGAAGATACATCTTCTGACAAAGAGCCATTATGTCTCATTATAAATGGTGTTGCCGGGACGGGTAAAAGTTATCTTATTAATGCTATAAAAAACCTTCTGCAAACTAAATGTGCTATTACTGCTACCACAGGTAAAGCAGCCTATAACGTTAAAGGTGTAACTGTGCACTCTCTGTTAAAGTTACCTGTAGGGTCTCGAGGTAACAAAGACCTAACAGGACAAAGTTTGTGTAGGTTACAAGAGAGTGTTAAAGGACATTGGCAGCCAAAATTTTTATTTCATATATCTATTAAACTTACCTATGGAATACTTAATTTTATAATTTTCATTCCTATCGCATTTAGTTTTTGTGGGTAGCCACTATGTTATAGCTGAAAAGTGTCCGCGTCCGTCTAAATGTCCACAACAGATCACGATCATGAACTATTAGTATTAGTGTTTGTTGACATCTTCGGTGATTGTCGCATTACCGAAACGAACTAACATGGATGCACACCACTAACAGTTGCAATTGCACGATTTCTGGAATTCGGGAACATATTTATTTATTTCGAAGTACTTTTGGCATGGGGGAACATATTTATTGATTCGTAAGTACTTTTGGCATGCTATATATTATCCATATATAATTGTATATGACTTCCAAAGGTAACACAGCATAAGTATTAAAACATGCTTATATCGCCCATTTCATTTGTTGATTAATTTCAAATAGTTAAATTTAAAAAACGCTTGGGCCGAACTATAATAGATTTTAGGCCTGTGAAAATTTAAAATGGCTTTTGTATTGTAAAACAGAGCGGATATTGATACACCCTGCATATTTAATACCTTGTATATATTTAATGACTTGTACATACATGGAAATGTTAATATGCCCACATTTTTGAATATGAAATATTTATATTCCATTTGCTTCAAAAAGATCAAAATATTAAATGCTAAATTATGCTTCCTGTAAACACTAAAATTGAGCACAGGAATTATGCTTAAATTCACAAATAGCATGTCGAAGCAGTGGAACAGGGATACAAACAGAACATATTGATTTATAACAAGATCTCAAGGTTTAGTTTCTTTATAATATTTGGATGATACTGGCAAAAGTTGTGCTTCAGTTTTGAATGAAACTGGCAAAAGTTATGCTTCAGTTTCATGAAAAATGTAACACATGGATCGAAAATGTGTCAGCACCCCTTAACTACTGGTGATGGAAGGAAATGGCTGAGATATTTAAAATGCAGGGGACTTGATAGATCAGGTTGTATAGAAAAATGGTAATCGAAGACCAATACAGTCATTGCAAATGTTCCATTCCCAAAATTCCATGTTTAGACATATAATTAATATAAAAATTTTACTCAAGTTAGTTTAAACTCACAGACAATGTGTATATTGTAGAAACATATGTGTATGTACACTGCTGATAATATATTCAAATCAAGACCTGAAATATAAATATATAAGTTAAAAGTCATATAAGATTCTTTAATTAAATGATATGAAATATATACCATTTTGTCAAATAACAAGTGTCAATTGTCACCAGGAAGCTTTAACATAATTTAACAGAACTTTATACTTTTTTTGTTTTAGTTTATTTTATGTAACTGTGCAGTTCCTATAAACATAACTTTTAGGATAGTTAAATGATTTTCTTCTGGATAGTGTCATAAACAATGTCCAGTTCATCAATGTCTGCTATCAATTGATTGATAAGCTTTTTTGGTGTCATTTGATCTAGCGAGTCATCTGTGGAACATCTAGCTATGAGCTGATGCACAATGATGTTGAAGGCTGTCAAATTGAATTCGTACAGGAACAATAACATCCGATATGCTAGCTAATAAATAATCAAGGGGCATAAAAAAGAAGTACTTTGAAAACGTTAAAAAATCTTTCTCTCCTTCCAAACTAAGCTTAATTAAGCAGACGATTTATACCACCACTCTGGAACCTTACTCTCTTTTTTGTTCTGTCCACCTATTCTGTTTTTTAAAAATCATGCATTTCCTATCTTTTGTAAATATGTTTTTATATATGTTATTTTTCTGTCGGTAAAAATGTATTTAAATTAAAACAATAAAAAAATTAAATATATTGTACAAAAAAATCGATTTCGTGAATTTGACTGGCTAACATATGGCGTTAGAAAGTAAAATTATAAGCATTAGTTTATATTGACTCGCCACTATAGCAGCCTGTAGTTTGACATTGAATCAAACTTGAATTTTTTTGCCAAACCATAGCTTCATCGCAGCCAATGATTTGCAAATGTTTTAGAGGCTACCCACATGTACGCATTGCGTACCTATTTTTGAGAAAATTTGTGAAAATGTTGAACAGTCGTCCGCCATTTTGAAAACAACACAATGTGATAATTTATGCACGCACACATTTGTGACGTCATTTGATGGGTTCGCAAGATATTTCATTATATTGATATATAGATTTCTATTGTACCTGGACGTTGTTACTTGAATATCTTGTTAAAATGAATGATACGGAGCGAATGGAATTGAATAATTGTGTAATAGCAATGCGTCACTCTTATGCCAAAAAATATTGGCGACGTAAACGCTAAAACGCTTATAAATATGATGCCTGCCATGTATGTGGTCCTCACATCTGGACAATTATGGCAACAGGCAATATATACATTTCAAATGTTTCAAACAACGATACATACTCTATTGCAGAAACACTTTGAACATGTAGTAAATGAATAATATAATTGT